TAATCGGATTTCTATTACTACTGATATTGGTAGAAGTGGTAATGATTGTGATTATCTAACTGTTACAAGTCATTGGATAGATGAGGAGTGGACAATGCAAAAATGCATTATTGCGTATAGAATAATTATTTCACGTCACACAGGTAAATTTATAGCTAACACTGTTGCAGATATTTGTAGATATTTTTGCTTTAGAGATAAAGTCAATTTCTATGGATAATGCTTCTAGTACACTAGTGCTATAGGCATACTTACAACAACACTAAATCCCGCATTTAGAAATATATTCCATGTTAGATGTATTTGTCATATTTATCATTTAATTGTCGGTGATGGTAATTTTAAATTTAAAAATTGAAAAGGTTAGAATGGCTCTTAATTGGATTTTTTATTCAAACCGTAGAAGTAGACTAAGAGAATATTTTAAAAAATGTGATGAATATGGCCTTAGAGAAAGATGAAGCTATGAAGAAATGATGGCGGAAATGTGATGAAAATGTGATGAATATGGCTTTAGAGATTGGATCCGCTCGGAAAGAAGGAACTTTGGAATTGCGGAATCACAACCGGCGATAGATGAAGCTTATGAAGAAATGATGGCGGAAATTGCGGAGGATGCTGCTTCGCCAGGAAGTGGTGATGAATAAGCTTCTTTTCCACCACCACTAACGCAAGCTCCTCCGAACCTTGAAGGATTCATGAAATTTGTTAGAGATACAATGTAGATTATGGTGTACCTTGTACTTTGACATATCTTCTTTTAGTTTTTTTCCCTTTTAATGGTGGTATTAGTACCTTGTTGTGCTCATTCCATTGGGAGGAAGAAGACTAAGAAAGATATGCCATTTTTGGAAATAAAAATTATAAGACAAGCCCTTGAATATCTTTTTGCAATATTTTTTTGGTGTTTAACTTGCAATTATTTATAAGCTATAATATATATAAATAACATACAATATATACTACAAGAAAATATATAAGATAATATATACACATAACATACAATATATATTACAAGAAAATATATAAGGTAATATATAAACATAACATACAATATATACTACAAGAAAATATATAAGGTAATATATATACATAACATACAATATATACTACAAGAAAATATATATATATATATATATATATACATAACATACTATATCTTGATGCCTTGACTTTAAACGTGAAAACACATGGTTATAATTATGCGCCTGGTTCTGAACTTATATGTCTGTCTTATAGGATTAATTTCAAATTGTTATCTACTTTGAATCCTCGATGTAAGTTATACGATACGTCGGATCAGACCATACTGGTAGAAACCAATTTTGCAAGGTCCATGGTCACCACTAGGAGACCTATTAGGTGGGAAAAAATTAATTTTTCAACTACTTGGACTTTAAATTCGGTTATATCCCCAAGTCAGATTACTAACGACTTGTCGGATACTGAATTTTCGCATGTTACTCAAAATCCGGATGGTAGGATTTGTATTCAATTTGATGATAAGTCTACTATTTATAATAGACATTCGTTTTCTAATCATAGACTTCTACCTGCTATTCAACATATTTCTCCTGTTGAACCAGTCTACGGTCCAGCTCGCAATCGTGCAGCCTCTTTACACACTATTACTAGTAAAGTTAGTAATAAGCCTGTCGAAAGAGTTGAAAAGGTTAAAGTTAACCCTCAAACAAATATTGTTCCGGACAATGACAATATTTCTGATAAGGATATTCCTTCTGTATCCGAGATGGATTTAGACCCCAATAGTAATTAATGATTCCACACCAAATTGATTTTAGCCCCGGTTCTCGGGCACGAAAATATATTCAAAAGGAATTTTTTTAGTGATAAATGGAGCCAGTTTAAAACATGGTTTTTCGATGCTTATAGCAAAGATGATTTGAATAGTATTTCTCAAGAATTTTATGAAACTTGTGCTTTACATAATCAAATTATGTATTTTGTTCCTTGGTTTATAACAACTTATTTGCCTCTTTATATAAAGGTACTAGAAAGATCTTATAAAGATGGGAGTGGTAATATTACTAAAGCCATTTATCCTCCTCAGGCCCCCTTTATTTTACCTAATAATACTGGTATTACCTTCACTGCTTTTCAAAAATTTATTGATGATAACGTTGCAGCTATTAGTATCGCAGAAATTAATAAATTGATTTCTCAAAACAATTATTTGGGTTTATATGTAAAGATTTTAGGAGAACATATCGGTTCTCTTGATAAAAAACTTGATGATTTGACTGTTTTAATAAAAGAAATGAGTACTAAGAAAGGACCAACTGATATTGCCTCCACTTCAGGAAGTAAAACAGTTGATCAAGCTATTCTTACTCATATTCAAAGACCTCCTGAGATTCAGGATTTTAAATTTAAATCTCTTGATGACTTAGCACAACTCCTCGATAAAAAGCTTTCTGGTTTGAATATTAGACCAAATGATTTTTCTAAAACTTTTGCTGATGGAACTGAGACCGTTTCTGATTATAAAACTGAGACATGGTCAGAGTTTAATAAACTCGAAAGGTATAGTTAAACCCAATAGTAGGTATGCTGACAAACCTAGGATGCAAACTTACTATTATCCCCGTCCTACTCCTCAAGATGTGTTGATTGAGGAACGCGATTGGAATCAGACTAATACGTCTTATAGCGGTTCCGAAATTTATGAATGGAATCCATATGGTTTAACTGATAGACAATTAACCATTCTCGTACATAGAATGCTTATGTATTCGACTATCTGCAAAAGTGTTAAAAATACGGATAGAACTATTTGCAAAATGATTATTGCAGGTTTTACTGGCCGACTTCGTGGCTAGTGGGATAATTATTTATCTGTTGAAGAAAAGGCTTTCGTTATTAATGCTACAGCCGTAGACGAGGGTGTTGATAATATAGGTATGGCTCTAGTTAAGGGTAGAGAAGATGCAGTGTATACCCTTATCCTTACAATTTTAGAGCATTTCAATGGTAGATTTACCTCAAATCATAAGACCATCAGAACCTTACTTAATGGGCTTAGATGTAAGACCCTTAGTGAATTTAGATGGTATAAAGATACTTTTATGAGTAGGTTATGGAATTACCCGAGAATAAATATAAGCATTGGAAAGCTAAGTTTATAGACGGCCTCCCTTCCTTATTTGCTGAAAGAGTAAGGAAAGTATTAAGGGGTAATTACGGTGAAATTCAGTATGGTAATTATATCTATGGTAACCTTATAGGAGTATGTGCGCAAGAAGGATTAAACTTGTGTAATGAGCTAAATCTTTCTAGACAGCTTAAGATTGATAAGCTTAAAGAGAAATCCCAATTAGGTGACTTCTGTACCCAGTTCGGTTTACCCGGAACCTCTACTCAAAGTAGGAAGAAGAAAAACAGATATCATAGGTATCCTCACCCGGATAACCCGTATAAGAAAAAGAGGTCAAGATATAGACCTAAGGAAGAGCGTGATACTAAAAAAGCACAACGTAAATCTACTTGATTTACGAAGAATAGCTCAAAGAGAGGTCTCGCTGATATTGAGTGTTATAAGTGTGGAAAGTTTGGTCATATTTCTCCAAATTGCAAGCTTCAAAAGCTGAAAACCTTAGAACTCAATGATGAGTTACGTGATAAGGTTTATGGCTTGTTATACACTTCAGGGTCAGAATCTGACTATTACTCTGAGACTGAATCTGAAGATGAAGTTGATGTAATTGATTTATCTGATAGTGATAAAAATATTGATACTTCTTGCACTGCTTGCAAGGGTAATATTTGTACTTGTGATAGTGACGAATTTTATAAATTGCAATCACAATTTCATGATTTAAATATGAAAACTATTACATCTGATAATGTAATAGAACTTTTAAAGGAAGTTACCGATGAAAAACTTCGTGAAAAAATTATTAATTTAGCTGCAAGTTCTAGTTCTAGTATTTGAAAACCTTTTGAAAAATACAAGAACGAATTTGAACATTTTGCGCCTTATTCTTTGTCTGAAATTNAATCGATAATAATTTTTCTATAACTGATGTAGCTATGATTGATAGTGGTGCTGATGTATCTGCATTCAGGAAGGATTAATTCCAACTAAATATTTTCAAAAGACCACTCATTTGGTTAAATCCGCTTCTAGTCATGCTTTAGATATAGAGTATAAACTACCAAATACTCATATTTGCCAAAATAAAGTCTGTATTCCTCATTTCTTCTTTTTGGTAAAAAACCAGTTAGGGATTGGTCCTGTAAATACCTTTGCACATACTTTAATAAACCAAGTATGTTTATGCCTCTCATTGTTATAATAAAGCACTCTATCAAATGCTTGGATATAATCGCGTTCCTCAATCAACACATCTTGAGGAATAGGACGGGGATAATAGTAAGTTTGTATCCTAGGTTTGTCAACATACCTACTATTGGGTTTGACTATACCTTTGAGTTTATTAAACTCTAACCATGTCTCAGTTTTATAATCAGAAACGGTCTCAATTCTATCAGCAAATTTTTTAGATAAATCAATTGGTCTAATATTCAAACCAGAAAGCTTTTTATCGAGGAGTTGTGCTAAGTCATCAAGAGATTTAAATTTAAAATCCTGAATCTCAGGAGGTCTTTGAATATGAGTAAGAATAGCTTGATCAACTGTTTTACTTCCTGAAGTGGAGGCAATATCAGTTGGTCCTTTCCTAGTACTCATTTCTTTTATTAAAACAGTCAAATCATCAAGTTTTTTTTCAAGAGAACCGATATGTTCTCCTAAAATCTTTACATCTATTACTAGTAAAGTTAGTAATAAGCCTGTCGAAAGAGTTGAAAAGGTTAAAGTTAACCCTCAAACAAATATTGTTCAGGACAATGACAATATTTCTGATAAGGATATTCCTTTTGTATCTGAGATGGATTTCGACCACAATAATACTTAATGATTCCACACCAAATTGATTTTAGCCCCGGTTCTCAGGCAGAGATGCTTCTTTTGATGATTTAAAGGAAGAAATTGAAAATTTGAAAATAGATATTAAGTCTCTTAAGCAAAATCAAATGATTTGCGATCACCGAATTACTCAAATTGAGAAAAATAATTCTCTACCTGAATTTTCGACTAAAGGAATTTTTTAGTGATAAATGGAGCCAGTTTAAAACGTGGTTTTTCGATGCTTATAGCAAAGATGATTTGAATAGTATATTTGGATTGCAATGAGCTAAAGCTTTCTAGATAGCTTAATATTGATAAGCTTAAAGAGAAATCCCAATTAGGTGACTTATGTACCCAGTTCGGTTTACCCGGAACCCCTACTCAAAGTAGGAAGAAGAAAAACAGATGTCATAGGTATCCTCACCCGGATAGCCCGTATAAGAAAAAGAGGTCTAGATATAGACCTAAGGAAGAGCATGATACTAAAAAAGCGCATCGGAAATCTACTCGATTTACGAAGAATAGATCAAAGAGAGATCTCGCTGATATTAAGTGTTATAAGTGTGGAAAGTTTGGTCATATTTCTCCAAATTGCAAGCTTCAAAAGCTGAAAACCTTAGAACTCGATGATGAGTTATGTGATAAGGTTTATGGCTTTTTATACACTTCAGGATCAGAATCTGACTATTACTCTGATACTAAATCTGAAGATTAAGTTGATTTAATTGATTTATCTGATAGTGATAAAAATATTGATACTCTTGCACTGCTTGCAAAGGTAATATTTGTACTTGTGATAGTGACGAATTTTATAAATTGCAATCACAATTTCATGATTTAAATATGAAAACTATTACATCTGATAATGTAATAGAACTTTTACAGGAAGTTACCGATGAAAAACTTCGTGAAAAAATTATTAATTTAGCTGCAAGTTCGAGTTCTAGTAGTTCAAAACCTTTTGAAAAATACAAGAACGAATTTGAACATTTTGCGCCTTATTCTTTGTCTGAAATTAATAAACGACTTCATAAGTCCATTACGCCTAGCAGAGATGCTTCTTTTGATGATTTAAAGGAAGAAATTGAAAATTTGAAAAAGGATATTAAGTCTCTTAAGCAAAATCAAATGATTTGCGATCACCGAATTACTCAAATTGAGAAAAATAATTATCTACCTGAATTTTTGACTAAAGGAATTTCTGAATTTTCTAATGATAAAGGAAAAGAAATTTTTTATCTGACTGAAGAAAAATCTGATATGGTTTTAGGTATGATGCAAATTATTACTGCGCATAAATGGTATATTAAATGTACTATTTTAATCGATAATAATTTTTCTATAACTGATGTAACTATGATTGATAGTTGTGCTGATGTAAGCTGCATTCAGGAAGGATTAATTCCAACTAAATATTTTCAAAAGACCACTCATTTGGTTAAATCCGCTTCTGGTCATACTTTAGATATAGAGTACAAACTACCAAATACTCATATTTGCCAAAATAAAGTCTGTATTCCTCATTTCTTCTTTTTAGTAAAAAACCAGTTATACCCGCCGATTATACTTGGAACCCCTTTATTAATGCTATTTACCCTTTTAATAACTGTGACGACCCGACCCGTCGTCTCATGAATTACTACTATGTTTTCCCCATTTTCAGCTTCCTTATGCTTCATTATCCATATCTTGTGTAATCGAGTTGATTTGAAGTGGTTTTAATAAGAAATGAGACACTTAGTCTCTTTTAAGAAGCCTTAAGTTGGAAAAGTCAACCGGACACTGACTTATGAGTTAGAGTGCTCGGAGGTGAATTCCGATGGTTTGGTTATCTCCGGGAGATGATTTGTGATTTAGGAGCGTGATCGAAAGTGATTTTGGAGGTTCGGTGTAGAAGTTAGCCTATTTTGGCGAAGTTAGGATTTTGGCGAAATCCAGTTGGTATGCGAGATTTTGATCTGAGGGTCGGAATGGAATTCCGAGAGTTTCTGTAGCTTCGTTATGTCATTTTGGACTTGTCTGCAAAATTTGAGGTCAGTCGGACTAGTTTTCTTGTGTTTCGACATCGGTTGTGAAATTTTAAAATTAAATAAGTTCTTAGGCTTGAATCCATGCATAATTGGTGATTTTGATGATATATGATGTGATTTGAGGCCTCGACTAAGTCCGTGATGTGTTTTCACACTTGTTGGTGCTTTTGGTTGAGGTCCCGGGGGCCTCGGGTGTGTTTCAGGTGAGTTTTGAGAGAGTACGGACACCTTGGAACTTAGAAAATGGAGAGGGCAGCAGTGGCGGCACGGACCGTGCTCCTTCTCGCGCTGGGCGCGCAGGGGAAGAATCTGCATGTCACTGGTCCTACTTCGGAGGTTCATATCGTTTGATCTACAAGGAATGTTGAGGTGATTCAAAAACGAAAGCTGTAGAGCTTTGAATCTAGTTTTCAGAAACATATTATAATAGGGATTTGGACATTTGTAGAGAAAGTTAGGGCCTAAATAGTGAAGCCTGTCACTGCAGTCAAATTGCTGCGCGGCCGCGACCATTTTTGTGCGGTCAGCACTCCCTGGGCGCGGACCGCGGTCATTTTTGTGCGGTCAGCACTGTCGGAATCCGAGGGGTACTCTATAAATACGAGATTTTGGGTTTTATTTTATATTTTGACCTATAGAGCTCGGATTTTGGCGATGTTTTGAAGGTTTTTCAAGAAATTCATCGGGGTAAGTGATTCTAACTCAGATTTGGTTAGAGTACATGAATATA